AGTTGTTGACGTTTTGCAATCTTCCCTGGGCTCTCCTTCCCGATACGGAGCCCATAAAAGTCCTGAAGCCGTGCAACCATACGTTTCCAAAAGGCTAGCTTATGCGTGCCTCCATGTTGTCCGCTCTGTTTGGCTGGTGGCATGGCAGGTCTCATTGCCAGGCCTGGAGAACAGCCGCGGTGGTGCGCGATGTCGCGCACGCCAACAAACTTGGACTTGTGCAGCTCCTCAACTGCACCTGAAAAGAGAGCATACCTGTCGGTGAGAGCTGGATCGGTACAGGGTTCGACAAAGGAACACTCTGCTCGGGGTCGGCTTGGAAGTCGGGCACTAGCTTTCTCCAGGAAAACCTCCCAGGCCATCGTAGGCCCTTGGACGTCCAGGGGTAGCGGTACTGGCTGGGTGAGGACCTGCATCTGCCGTTCCCTGAAGGTTCCTGCCAAGCTGCCGCGAATGCCAAGATGAGGATGGGCCCATGACCCTTCTAGGTCATACTCCAAACTGAGGTCTGGGACGAGGTGGGAGGAGACCAATCCGAAGTCGACCACCCGCTTGCCGAACTCCCGATACGCCCCTTCTGGAAACACAAACCTGGCGTCAAAGTAATCCTCGATCCCAGACTCCCGAATCTCCGATACTTCCATATTCCAGTCGGTTAGAAGGATGAAAGGGACCCCAGTTGCCTGGACGTTGCTAACCATCTCCTCTAGCATCTGCATGCCATCCCCCAAGAGGCCCTCCCCGCAAGCGAAGTAGGCGGAGAGGAAAAGGAGCGAGTGGCCGCGCAGGCGGACCTCACGCGCAACCTACATGCCTTGCCCAGCGGCTGGCTGAGACCACTCCGCTCGTCGCAGTCGCTCTCCTTGCCCTTGGGTCTCGTTGGCGGGCCTGGCCTCGACCTTCCAGTGCGCCTTGCTGGGCTTCTTGATCGCCGCATGCAGAGGTGGCCCTCGTAGGTGAGTCTCGGCACCGAGTTGGACATGGCACCCTTCGTCATCGCGAATCTTATTCACATACTCGAGGCCAGCCTGGTTCCACTTGGTGTAGTTGGCGAAATAGAAGCACACCGCTTGAAGATCGTGCTTATAATACCGCTTCATCCTGTCCCGGCTGGCTTTCGCTTGCTCCTGGGGCGCCTGAGCGTAGGGCTTCACCTTCAGGGCCTCAACCTGACACACTGCCTCGTCCGTGTCGTTGTGTGGAGTGTCAGGCTCTGGGTCACCGTCGTAGCTAGCTGTCGCGAAGGCGCCCGCGTCCTGCTCCAGCTGATCGAAGGGGTCCCAGTCCCCGTCCATACTGGTCCTTCGGCGGCCGTTGTCAGTGTTCGGCTCGGCGCCCTCCTGCTTCTCCTCGTCCGTGCCCACTCGCCCGCGCTGAGTGTTTTCGGCTGCCGTAGAAGAAGAGGCATGTGCGCCGCCCCTGCCTGGGCCATCACTCTCGGCCAGCCCCGAAGGTGCAAGGCCGAAGCCCAGAGCATTAAAGCCCCCTGCCGACGAAGTTCTGGCGAACATGGCTGACTCAGGCAGGTCGGCTTGGGCCCCCGCTAACGCGGGGCATCCTCTGGGCGAGGTAGACGATGGCGCCGCCGAGGGAGTGAAAGTCCACTCCTGTGATGACTCTGCCGATGACCCAGCCGGCGAGGCTGTCGAAGTAGACGGGGTTGCTGTGGAAGCAGTCGACAAAGAAAATCCACATGTTGTCGCCATATGCGTCTCTCGTGTCCCCAGCCCAGGGGAATGCGCATCCCTGGCCATCTGGAGAGAGGTATCAGCAGCTGCCCCCCATCGTCGCCGCCGCTGGGCTGTGAATGTAGCTGATCTTCAGGTTCTGGTAGCAGCGCCAGATTATGTGGTCGGTAGTGTCGATCCCCTGGACACTGCACATCATCGGCATCAGCTTGGAAGTAGTGGTACGTAGGGCGTTCCGCGAAGCGCACTCGAGCCGCACCCTGCGGCCCTGGGCTACCCCCGCGTCTGGCAGGCGTCCCCTTTGCTGGCGCCCTTGCCCGCAAGCACCGCGGCAGCGCGCTCCTTGGCTGTCTGGGCGTGCTGCTGTGAGGGGCCCACCTCACTGCCTGGGGCTGTGCTGCCAGGTGCTGCGCCCCCAGCGCTGGCGGCGCCAGCCGCAGCAGGCTCTGCTGTAGCGCCACCGCCGTTGTCCCCAGGAGGAGGAGCAGACTCCGCCCTAGGCCGCTTGGTCTTGAGGTGCCTCTTCTGCTCCTCGTGGGCTCTGCGGGTGGCGTCGCACTTTTCTTTGGCCGATTTGAAGAGCTCAGCAGCGGCGGCCTGCATCGCGGTCTTGAGCTCCTCCTTGCGCTTCGCGATCTCGGCCTCATCCTCGGTGCCCAGCTCGTATTCCTCGCCAAGGTCGAACATGTCCCCGCAGTCGATGAGGTCGTCGGCACTGAGCTTGCCTTCGAGCAAGGACTGCAGGTCGAGCTTGGAGGGGTTTGGTTCCCTGGGGCCGAGCTTGGTGTGGTACTCTTCCTCCAAGACAGCCTTGTACTCAAGCTCTGCGGCCTCGAGGTCGCCCACCAGCTTCCGAACGAGCTCAGCTTGATCAGTAGTCTGCTGCTGCAGCTTGGCCAGGAGGTCTGTGGCGTGCGAGAGCTTCTTCTCAGTCGCCGATGCCTTGCGCTGGGCGGCGGCGGCACGCTGGTGGACGGGGCGGACCACGCTCGCCTTGGCCAGCTCCGCGGCGTACTTGTTGGCGGTGGCTGTGTCGCCCATCTGGGTGGCCACGTCCACCAGCTTCTGAAGGTCGGCTGCCGAGACCTGCGCCGCTGCCGTAGCTGCGCCCGCCCACGGCTGGCCGAGCGGGTCCACCTGTTTGTGCTGCGCCCAGCTCCTGCGTCACTGGCCCACGGAGCTGGCGTTGGTTCTTCAGTGCGTCCTTTGCGGCAGTGCTTGCACCAGGTCCAGTGCATGAGGTTCTGCCCGCATCCACAGAGGCTGCACTTCCACCGATCGCCAGGGCGCCCATGGGACATGTGCCGCGGGCAACTGAACTGGAAAAGACTGCAGAGGGTCGAGAGGCGCGCTCCCCCGAGCGCTCAGTACCTGGGCCGCGGCAGCCAGGCCTATGGAAGGGGCTGCCCTTCCACCGCGACCTCGAGCCTCTGGAGTCGGGACCCACGGGAGGTTAGCTCCGTGGGACTTGAGCCAAAATGGCTACGGCTCCTCCTCCTCCTCCTCCTCCTCCTCCTCCTCCTCCTCCTCCTCCTCCTCCTCCTTCTCTCCTCGTGGCTCTCTCCCTCCCGTTCTCCCTCCCCTCTCTTGCGCATCCCTCCCTCTTCCCGCATCCCCCCTCCATCCGCCAGCTTCCCCCTATCTGGGGAGACCAAAAGGTACCGATACTGCTACTCCCCGGACCTCTCCTGGGGTGCGTTCTGAACAGAGTCCAGCGGTGGCGACGAGGGCCTCCCAGGATGCCCAAGAAGGGGAAAACGAGGGAAGGGCAGCGGGATAAGTACGTACCCACCCCCTTCTTCTCCTCCCTCCTTCTCTCCTGCTCCTTCTCCCTCCTTATCCTCCTCACCCTCCTCACCCTACAGCCTCGTCCTCCGCCCGCCTGCGCCTTGACCCCTTCCCCCTCCCTCCCGCTCCCCTCCGCCACCTCCCTCGTGGTCCTCCCCTCGCCCAGAGTGGCCAGGAACACAGCACAACTGCTCCCGGCACGCGGCGCACGCCCCCGCCGTGCTGCGCTCCTCTCGTGCGCCGAGGGTGTGCGTGGTCCAGCGCCCGCAGGGCGTCAGGGGAGAATCTCGCGTGGCCTTCTCCGACCTCCTCCTCCTCATCCGTAGCAGCAGCCCCCTTCAACCTCCGACCTCCTCCTCCTCCTCGTCCTCCTCCTCCTTCTCATGCGCCCACTTCCCTCCTCCTCCTCCTCCTCCTTCTGCTCCTCCTCCTCCTCCTCCTCCGCCTCCTCCAGTTCTTTCCCTTATAGACAACTGTTCCACTGTCGCACCCCGCGGCCAGTTGTTAGGGCGGGCTGGGAATTTCGCCTGAGACTTCCTCACCATTTACGACTCTGAGGCTAAGACATTGGAAACAGTTTCACAGATGGAGGGCGGGTCGTTTTCAAAATGTGGCTCTCGCCTTAGCGCCACGCGCATTAGTACTCGCCTCAACGCCGCGCACATTCGTTTAAACACCTTGCGAGAGCTTCACTGATTGAGGGCGGCTCCTTCTGAAAATGTGGTTTTCGCACTAGCGCCGCACACATTCGTTTTTCACATTGGCAAGAACTTCACGGATTCCCATGATCAACGTACCAGAAATTACGTTTTGGAAGGATGCAGGATTATGCGGGTGCACACGTTGCATTGATTCGCGGTGTTGAAGTCCCAGGAATGGCGATCTGGCACGATTCAGGATCGCTAACACACAACAATCAGGTTGATCCGTGGCGTTGGAATCCCCAGAACACTGTTTTGGCATGCTTCAGGGTCTTCAAACGGCTGTCTTCCAACGAGGCAGTTCCTTGAATGCAAATGCAGCGTTGTAGGGGCCTACGAAGAAGGAGCTTGGAGGGAGGGCTGAATCCCAACTTCGCTGATGACTCTTGGGTTTACACTGGTCCTCCTCCTCCTCCTCCTCTTCCCCGTCCCCCACTCTCGTTCAAACCGGATCCTCACACAGCTTCTGGTCGCCGCCCTGACCAATCACTCGAGCTGCGTCCCGCTGTGACCACTGCCCCCCGCCCAGGAGGCCCTAGCGACACAGACAGCGCCCCCCCTCCGACCCTCGACCAGGCTATCCCAGAATCGAATCGATGAGTCGGACCGGCGATCCAAATGAATCGGATCGGAGGAAATTGGCACCCGAGTCGGGAGAAGCCGAATCGGCGGAAATCTGCAGGCTTGTAAGGTCTCAAATGGGACATCGGAACCCTCGGAATCCGAAGTCGAATCGAACCGTAATCGGAAGCCATCGAAATTAAATCGAATCGAATCGGAGGAGTCGAAACGAGCCCTGACCTCCCACGTGCCCCCCCCCCGCCTGCCGATTCTGCAGGCGCTCGGGACCCAGGACTGGGCCCGCCCCCCACCCCTGGCGCACGGGCCGCTGCGGAGGGGGGGGCCCTCTATCTCCCGCTCCTCCTCCTCCTCCACCTCCTCCTCCTCCTCCTCCTCCTCCTCCTCCTCCTCCTCATGCTGCCCCTCCTGCTCGCTTTCCTGGCGAGGGGGAGGGGGCATGGGGAGGGGGAGGGGAGGAAGGGCGGGGAGGAGGCAGCGGGGGGCGGAAGAGGGACAAGAGGGAGGGGGACAACGTCGAAGGCAAGGGGAGGGGAGGAACGGGAACGGGGGGCGATGGGAGGGAGGAGTACGGACAGGCGGGCAGGGGGATGGGACAGATACGGGCCGAGGGATGGAGGTGGAAAGGGAGGGAGGAGGCCATCCGCCCCCCCCGCCGCGGCGATGACGACGACGCCGACAAAGCCGACGGCGCGACCCAGCGCGCCACGGACCTGACGGCGACGGCGGCGACCCAGCGACCCGACGACGCCGAGGGCGACAGCGGCGAAGGTCGAGAATCTTTTTGACCGTGCCAGGGCGGAGCCGCGAAGGAGCGGCACGTTTCGCCGCTGTGGCCCCACCTCGGCGCCTAAAGGCTGCGAGCCTGCAGCGTGCCCTACCTATCCGGCCCTCTATGGGAACCGCGCATGTGTACACTGACCTAAGGTACGCAGGCCTTCGCCCGAGGCATCCCATATGGGGTCCGAGTAGATGGGATTGGAAGATTCGCGCCGCATCGCAGATGCATCGGCGATATGGCTCGATGACGGGCCCAACTTTCTCCCCGCCGCCGTCGCTGACGCATCGCTAACGTCGCCGACGCATCGGCGATGTATCGGCGGTGAATTGGCGATGCATCGGAGATGCGGCGCGATCCTCTGACTCCATCTACTCGGACTTCATCTGGGAGATCTAGATAACCGAAAGAGCGTATTCTACCGCTGCTAGCGGAAAACCGAGGTCACTGGGGGTTCCCATCCCGTCCCCCCCACCCCCCCTCGAAAACTGGGGCGGTCACTACCGGTTCGAACCCCCCCTCCCCCGCCCAGTCCATCATGAAAAGGGAGGGGGTCACTACCGGTTCGAACGCCCCCCCATCCCCTCGCCGCCAGCAAACGATTCCCGCTCCTCGGGACAGTGGGACAGTGGAGGGGACACTGGGACAGTGGCTGGGACAGTGGTGGTGGGGACAGTGGTGTGGGGACAGTGGGACAGTAATGGGGACAGTGGGGACAGTGGTGGCGACGGTGGTGAGGACTGGTCAGGGGACAGTGGGACAGTGGTGGGGACAGTGGTGGGGACAGTAGTGGTGGGGACAGTGGTGAGGGCGGTGGTGAGGACGGTGGTGGGACAATGGGACAGTGGTACAGTCAGTGGTGGGGACAGTGGTGGGGACAGTGGGACAGTGGCGGGGACAGTGGGACAGCACAGTGGAACAACGGCGGGACAGTGGGGACAGTGGTGGGGACAGTGGGACAATGGTGGGGACAGCGGGGACACTGGGAAGAGTCGGACCGTGGTGGGGACAGTGGTGGGGACAGTGGGGACAGTGAGACACTGGTGGGGGCACTAGTGGGGAAAATGGGGACATTGATGGGAACAGTGGGGACGGTGGGATAGTGGTGGGGACAGTGGGAACAATGGTGGGGACGGTGGCGGTCGGGACAGTGGTGTGGGGACAAGAGTACAGTGGTGGGGACAGTGGGACAGTGGTGGGGACGGTGGTTGTGGGGACAGTGGTGAGGGCGATGGTGAGGACGGTGGTGGGACAATGGGACAGTGGTACAGTGGGGACAGTGGTGGGGACAGTGGTGGGAACAGTGAGACAGCTCAATGGGACAGCCGCGGGGACAGTGGGAACAGTGGGACAATGGTGGGGACATTGGTGGGGACAATGAGGACAAAGGGGAAAATGGGACCGTGGCTGGAAGTGGTGGGGACAGTTGGCCCGGGACAGTGCGACAGTGGTGGGGGCACTGGTGGGGACAGTGGGGACCATAATGGGAACAGTGGGACAGTAGTGGTGGGGACGGTGGTGCTGGGGACAGCGGGTGAAGGCGGTGGTGAGGACAATGGTGGGGACCCCAAAGTCGTTTGCTGGCGGTGAATGTGTGGGGGTGGGGGGGGGGGTTCGAACCGGTAGTGACCTCCCTGGTTTTCTGGAGGGGGGGCCGGTAGTGACCCCACCCGGTTTTCCAGGGGGGGAGGAGGGGGCGGAGAGGAAGAGAGGGGATGGGGTTTTGCCGGAGGAAGGGAAGGGAGGGGGGGGGGGGATTCGAGCAGGGGGGGTGTGATTTTCGGAAGGGAAGGGGCCCGCGGGTTCCGAAACAAGAGGGGGAGGAATTTTCCACAGTAAAGCAGCGGTCACGCTCTGTCAGATAACCATAGTGTGCAAATGTTACACGCCTCCACATGCGCGCCGCAGCCGCCGCCTTTGCTGCTCGTCCTTGCCCTCGTCGTCGGCCTCGTTGCCGACGTCGTCGTCGCTATTTCCGTCGTCGTTGTCGCCGTCGGCTTCGCGCTCAGGGCTCGAACACCACGGGCCGGGTCTCTGGCAGGGCGGGGAGCCCGGTGACCCCCTGCGGCGACGCGGGGGGGCCGTCCCCTCGTCTTCCCCGTCCTCGTCCTCCGGGGGAAGAGGATCAAAACCACCTCCCCCTCATCCGCCTTGCCCTCCTCCTTTCTCTTCTCACCTCTCTCTTCCTTCCCTCTCCGCTCCTCCTCTCTCATATTTTCCTCCTCCTCAAACCTCCCCTCCTCCTCCTCCTCCTCCTCCTCCTCCTCCTCCTCCTCCTCCTCCTCCTCCTCCCTCTTGCTCCTGCTTCTCCTCCTCCTCCTCCTCCTCCTCCTCTTGCTCCTGCTCCTGCTCCTGCTCCTGCTCTTGCTCCTGTTCCTGCTCCCCTCCCTCCTCCTCTTCCTCCTCGTCCTCTTCCTCCTCGTCCTCCTCCTCCTCCTCCCTCGTCGTCGTCCTCCTCCTCCTCTTCCTCCTCGTCCTCCTCCTCCTCTTTCGTATGTCTCTCCAACTCCCGTCGCTCACGCATCGTCCCCATAGTTGTCCTCATCCTGCTTGTCGTCTACCACCACCACCACTTCTGATATCCTCGGTCTTGCTCCGTTTGAATATCATATCTGCCTTTCTCCCCATTTCCGCTCTCCCCCATTGATATGTTTCATGTAACACACCTTCACGCCTGACCACCACACGTGTCGGCAGGGCGGGCCAGGCGTGTTGCCGCTTAAGAGTTACCCACACATTATGATCATGAATTTTGACATGTGTCGCACATTCGACGATGGAGAGCGGCCCGTTCGCAAAATGCTGCTCTCGCCGACCGTGACGCGTCCTCTCCGCCTAAACATCCTGCAACACGTAACGCGCAAATTGATGGAAGAGCGGCTCGTTTTCATAATGGTGCTCTCGCCTTAGCACCGCGCGCACTCGTCTTACTACAGCCTCTGGAGCGTGGCTAGAGCGCGTTGGCTAGCAGGTGGGTTGCGCGCCTTGTTGGACTGTGCCGCGCCGCGAATCCAAGCGCGCAGCTTTGTCCCCAGCAGAACAGCAACGCAAACTTGCGTTTATGGGGCCGCGGAGAACGCCAATGCCCCAGGCCGCCTGATCGTGCGCGTCGTAGAGCTCGCTGTAGTCAGCGCCCGCGACCTCTTTCGCGTCCATCATCATGGACAGACCGCGGCCCTCAGAACAGTCACTGCTTCTTGGGGCCGCCAGTAAAGTACTGGGGTGCTCGTGTGCAGTGCGACTGTCATCGTCAATGGCAGGAGTGGGCACGCCTGCGCGCTCCAGCGGTGCTGTTTGTTCCCCGGCGGAAAGCCCCTCGTCGCCCACATTGGCGGTCGCCGCCCCAAACCTGGCCGCCCCTGCCATTCGCCCTGCGACCCGGGCTTGCTCTTCGGCGTCGGCAGTGGACATGGCGTGCTTTTCCCTGGTGTTAACGTCGATGGGTTCCGCCGCGCGGCCCCGCAGCGCCTTGCCCTACTGGGATGCGGCCAGAATGGCGCGCCCAGGTCAGCCACTGCCAAGCTAGCGCTGCCAGCCCCACTGCCCAGGCCGTCCGCGGCACGAACGGGGGGGTGGGCAGGGCGCCCGCTGCCGCCCTGTTCCCTCCCGGCCTCGGCGAAGCCCGCGTCCTTCTAGAAGACAACATTGCGAATCCGGGCAATGCGGGCCTCGATCTCCCCAAGCTGCATCCCGAACGTCTCCAGAACCGCCTTGACCTGTTCCGCGCGTGCTTCCTGCTTACTGACGCGGTCGGACCGCAAGCGCTCCCTGTGGGGCCCCGAAGCGTGCGGGGGGCGTGCCAAAATGAGTGCGGTGGGCGTGCGCGAACGCTTGCATTTGGGCCATCGGTGGGGCTCCCCATGGGGCCGCGAAGCGTACGACTGGCGTGCCAAAATGGGCGCGGTGGGCGCGCGCGAACGCAAGCATTTGGGCATTCGGTGGGGCTCCTTTATTACGGGGCGACGAAACGCGTGCGGAACGCGCCAGAATGGGCGCGCGGTGGGGCTCCCTATGGGGCCCCGAAGCGTGTGAACCAAGATGGGCGCGACGGGCAGCCCCTGCGCGCCGTTCGCGCGCGGCGCCATCTGCCAGCGTTTTCCCGCGCGCCCCCCCCCCCCCCCAGCCGCGCGGCGCTTGCGAGGCGACTGCAGCCGGCGCCTCCCCGCGCGCCGACATCGGCGCGAGACGTGGGAGCGGCGCCGCGCGCCGAGCCCAACGCGACACGTCGCGCTCCGATATCCAGCCGACCACACGACGCGCGAGTCGCCCCCGTCGCGCGCGAGCGCTCACCGAGAGGGCCGGGAAGCCGCGCGGCGCCGCGCGCCGACCCCTAGCACGAACAACGCGGCTGCACCGCACGTCTTCCCAGGCAGCCCCCCCCCCCCTGCGCTGCGGCGGCGGGGCGGTTTCGCGCGCCGCGACGCCGCTGCGACGCGACTGCAGGAGTGCCCCCGCGCGCTCGCGCCTCGCCAGGCGCAGCCGAGGCAGAATGGGCGGGGCTGGGGCACGGGCGTCGCGCAGCGCGCACAAGGACATCCCATCCCCGACAATCCTGTTGGGGGGTCGGGGCGCGCGCGCTTCTCGTTGGCGATTTGTGGGGCTTTCAATTAATTTCACTCTCTCTCTCTCTTTCTTTGTTTTTTTTATTGTTTCTCTCTCTCTCTCTCTCTCTATCTTTGTGTAATATATCTCTCTTTTTCTTTCTCTCTCTCTCTCTCTGTTTATCTCTCTCCCTCTGTCTGTCTATATTGTTTGTATCGGAGGTTGAGGGGTGAGGTCGCAGCTGCACGGAGACCCCCAACCGGGAAATCGTTTCGTCTCGTTCGCGCCGCGCGCGCGGGCGAAGCGAAGCTGCGCGGGCGCGCGAGAGGCATGAACCCGCCGTTGCTGGGGCGAAAACATGGCACATGCTGCCCCCCTGTCCGTCCGTCCGTCCGTCCGGCGGTGGCCCTAGCGGTGTCCCGCGGCGCCCCGTGATGTCCCGCGGCGTTTCGTGGTGTCCCGTTGAGTGAGATCGATAGTGGGATCGATGATGAGACCGATAATGCGATCGCCAGGTGCCCCGCGGTGCCCCGCGGCGTCCCGTGATGTCCCATGGCGCC